GATATTAATGAGTTTTTTGGGTTCATTGAGAACATGGTTGTTGTTCAATAATAAAATTATTCCTCAAAAATACAACTTGCCTAATAATTCTGCACTCCCTGTATTGATAAGTCAGCAAAACTTCCTAAAAATATCAGTCTTTGTTCATCTAAATTGGATAGTTATAGTCTATTATTGAATCATAAATCAATGTATGCTTGTATTTGTCGCTTGCAGTTGCCTGCATTGAAAATTGGAACTTGCTGAACGTACATACAATACACAAACATCACATTGGGGAGACAGGTCAGACTAGGTGGCATAAAGTGAAATGTATAACACAAAAAGGCAATCGAGGAGAAAAAAACTGCTCATACTAGTCCCCAAAAGGGAATCAGTATGAGAAGAAAACAAAAACTTCAGAGCACACAAGAAGCAGAGATATCTTCCCACCTTAACACCATGAAACACAAGACAAGCAACAGGGGGGAATAGGCCAATGTGCACAGTTGCATCTGGGACGCCACGATCGTGCACCCGAAGGTGAGCCGCTGTCCACATCGGATGGGAGGCATTGGATTCAGGGAAGGGTGGAGAGGGGGGGTGAGTTCGTATCAGTGGCAATGTACGTGTGTGTGTGCGTGGGAGAATGTGTGCCCTGTGTTCAGCCTGAGAAAGTGTCCTTTCGCCCAATTAGGCGAAAATCAACAGTCCGCAGCCTACGTAGGTGGCTTTGCGGGATCGGGCAAGAGAGTTGGTGAATTATCGTTTCTCAGGGAAGAACTATTTTGTTCTTGTCGGCATCGACCTTTAAGTGTCCAGCTGGCGCTGTCGTGTAGGGGGTGTAGCCGCATGAAAGATGTTGGTTGTGTTGTTTTAGGACAAACAGACTGCATTTGACTTTTACAGTTGCTCTTAATGTCCATCACTGGTAACCAGGTGTATCAGTCTCCCGTTGAAGAGCCGGGAGCTTCTCCAAGATCTTTCCCATGTTACGTTCAATCAGAAGAGTCTGGGGACTTACAGCTCTTCCCAGACCTTCGATCATAGCGGCTAGCCTTGTGGGGTTTTGAACAGCTGTCACCGCTTTCTTCAATTTTCGATAAGCCAGGGCCAAGCCAGTTCCGATCAGCAAGAGCCCCGTTACCATGGTTCCAAATAGGTAGATGTCTTCAATGTCCTCAATAGACAGTCCCGCTAGGCACATGACGCACCACTTCTGCCTCCCGTCCATGGTGTATCCAGCAGGAAACGTCCCTACAGGACACTCGGGCTCTCCCGAACCCTGGCCTCTCATCGAGAATAGAGTGTCAATTGCATTTAGGGACCAGAATTTAGGGACGAGTTCTTCTTTAGGTTTTAGAGAACAAGAACGAGAGGCTATCTCAGGGTTAGAGTCAGATGACACTAGACAAGGACATAGAAGCTAAGCAGGGAAGATAAGTATACCTTAAAAATAACTAGACAGTGAACCAACACACCAAAAAGACTGACACAAGAAACAAATTGGGGAATATTGAACCAAAAGGGTTCATGAACAGGCAGCACAATTTCCTGTTGAACAAGATTTTAAATATAGGTTAACTGATTCAGTCATGAAATTTTTTTTTTTTTAGGCAAGCTTTAAATAAGACAGTTTAAACAAGAGTTATAATCATGGTAGTGATTGTTCAATGAATTATTACTACATATTTCAGTTTTATACACTGGTTTCACTAATTGTTTACTGTATGTTGCTTTGATCCACACCTTCCTTTTTGTGTCAGTTAAAGCGAAAATATTTCCTCCAAGAATTGGTAGATACCAGGAACAGGAAAAAAATGTAGCTCAGTCACCAAAACTTTCCAATAAATTTTACTACTGTATTATTTCAGCATCTATAATTGTACTGTTGTATGTCAGCAAAATATGAAAAAACATAATACTCACTTTAAGAAAGCACTGAGTTTGTCTTGCTCATTTAGTCTGGAATGTACAAATGCCATGATGTTTTTCACATTAGATAGTATGGTTGGTTCTGTGAACAAAAAAGTCAAGAACTATTTAGAAGGAATTATAGACTAGAATAACCAAAAAATGTAAAATCTCATGTTAAAAAAAGCAAACCTGTGTGAATTAGAGTATATCAGGACCATAATGTGACCACTAACCAATCAAACTTATTATACCATGCTGACTGTTAAATTTTGACAACAGCCCAAAGAAAAAGTAATTTCTAGCATCAGAGATGAAACTGGCATGTTGGACAAATTGTGCTGAACAGAAATTTAACCCTATAGTGGCTTAAACTGTGACATTGTTTAGTAAGAAACGTAAATACCTTCAAATCCTGGCATTGACTGACGCTGTCGCTTAGCTGGTGACTGCAACCTGCTGGCATCACTTTCAAGGTCTGATTTTCTTTTTCCTGATTGGATAAAAACAACAACAAAAAATAAGAAAAAAAAATGTGTCTCTCTCAGCATTGAAAGTTGTTCTTAGTAAAGTTATGTAGATTGCAAAAAATATTGGTGCCTTTCAAACACAGAATAATATGAGATGCAATAAATATGATGCATGTGTCTCACCTGTATCACTTGTGGCTGGAAAGACCTGAGGATGAATATGAGTTATACAGGAAATTATCACTATTTGCACTGGCATTGCTCTTTAACAAAAGGACACTAACATACAAGTTTTACAATCAACAAACTTAAATGCAGTTATGTTTTATTAACCAGCAGACTGATGAAAATTAAATTACAATAACCTTCTTCTTACTAAATATCTGTAATCCTACTAGACAATTCTTTTACATAATTAGGTCCCAGTCTCAAAGACCTACAGAGACAGTTGGCAAACCCTCTAGCTAGGGCAAAATGTATTTTCCCACCCCCTTTGAATTATGTCTTTAGATTAGTCATTTATTGGTTTCTGTAGAGAGTTGTCAGTCTCTGTAGACCAGAGAATGGAGCTTTACTTTGTCTCAGGCAGTTGGCTCATATGTCTGAAATTCAGTGTAATCCTTACCTGAACCACATCAGCTGCTTCTTCATGCTCCTGTTCACACTGCAGATAAAAAGTGCAAAGCCGCATAGAGTATTGAGCTCTTAAACATGCATTAAAAATTGTATTTGTCATATGGACATTAAATCTGAAGGAAAAAACTGTTTTAAACTGACTTGAAAAGACATGACTGTTTCATGATTTGAATTTTGTTCTTACCACAATCAAAACGATTCAAATCTATATTAGTTAAGAATCAATAAAATGACTACAAATAATTACTGCCAGTGAGACACTGTTGAACACCCAGTGGTGTTTGTGTAGCTTATCTGCGTAGCCAATTTAATTAAAAATGTATAACTTACTTCAAGGTGTAATCTTCACACACTCTCTGTGTATTTACTCACTAATTACCTGTCCCTCCTGTACTTTCCTGCTCATTGTGTCAGATGTTTAGTTACTCCTCGGCAGGGATGGGTACTGGTTCTGACATAAACGGTAGTAACCAGAAAAGCAGCACACATTTCGGTGCTTTATTTCAGTACTTTTTTTTCTTGAGCTGTCATACAGCTGTCTTCTTGTTTGATAGAGTGATACCATATATGCCCTATAGCTGCAGAAAAGGCTAACATTGTTATCTTTTTACAAAAGAAAAAAAAAACGGCTAAACATGAGAGGTTTTATGACATAGTTTGTGTTTTCCATTGTTTAAGCACTGGTTCCAACCAAAGGATGTATCTTGTATCGACAGAAAAGGCTAACTTGGTTATCATTTTGCAGAAAAAAAGAGACTGCTAAAAATAAAAACATAAGAGGTTTTTGGGCAAAGTTTATGTTCTCCATTCTTTAAGCACCGGTTTGAGCACCGTTTAAGCACCGGCACCGTTTCAAAAGTACCGATTTGGCACCGGTATCGGATAAAAACTAAATGATACCCATCCCTACTCCTCAGTCTCCTTTAGCAATAATGAGACTTGCATTAAATGTACCCTATTTACAACTCTGGAGGCCAGGATCACATAATTGTAGACTTTGCTTCGCACCCTTAAAAATCCCATAACTAGCCGGGCTCCTTTAGCCAGTGTAGCTCCCTCTGGCATATTGTCCCGAGCAGTTGGGGAAACAAGATGACAGGGTGACGATGAGGAGAAAGCACAGTATTAAATAGAAGCCCTGTGGCACACCACCAACCCATTCATGTGTCTAAGTGTTTTCCCCCATTTGCAGACACACCCGCAGGGGCTCATACTCTGGTAATTGGTGATTCTGTTCTAACACATGTGAAGCTAGAGACACCAGCAAAGACAACCAGAACAGTCGACACTGAGGGAAATTTAAAACTGCTGGCTAAGTGTAAACATAAATTGAATAAAATTCTAATTTATGTCGGCAGTTATGACACCTGGTTACCTTAATGGGAGATCACTAAAATTAATACTGAATCAGTATAGGCAAAAGAATTGAGCTTTATTTTGTCTCAGGCAGTTGGCTCATATGTCTGAAATTCAGTATAATCCTTACCTGAACCACATCAGCTACATCTTCATGCTCCTGTTGACACTGCAGATAAAAAGTACAAAGCCAAATAAACTGAGCACTTAAACATATACTAAAAATTTTATTTCTCATATAGATACTTCATCTCAAGGCAACAAAACAGTTTGTAACTTACGTGAAAAGAAATGACTGTTTCTTGATTTGTGTTTTTTTCTTCCTAACACAATCAAAACATCCATATTAGTAAAGAGTTAACAAAAATTACACTACATAATATTGCTGCCAGGACATTTTTTAATATCCAGGTAACTCTAATAGAAATTCGCCTCTGTACACTAAAACAACAATGATTGTTTTAAAAAAAAAAAAGGTAATTACCTTTAACAGCTTGAGGTTCTTCTTGAATTTCACTCTTGGTCCAGCTTTTGTGATCAAATTATTAATTTCTTGATCATCAAGCTCACACAGACTTTCAGAATCGATTTGTTCATCTGTAATTTAAAAAGAATTTGCAGAGATAAAGTTTATTCTCAACTTTCTTCAGAAATTCTTCATAAATGATTGAAAAAGCTATGGGCACAGATCTATGAGCTGTTTTACAGTTAACAGATCACATCAGGATCAATATCTGTACCCATCACAGATTCACATTAATACTTTACCTTTAAATTTTTCCACCCACTCACTTAGCCCCCATTCAACCAGTTTGGTTCTTACGAAATCATCCATGACCAAGAAATGAAACTGTAAGATAAAATGCAATATTTAACCAGACAATACTGCTTTAAAGATTAGATATTTGTGACCAACTTCTCCTTTAATCCATATATAATCATAGACACTGATTAAATTCAGATTAAAACTTGAAACTGCTCACCTTTTGTTTGAGTAATGCAGGAAAAGGCTGCTGAGGGAGATGTGAGGGAAGCAGTGAGACACAAACAGGAAACAGAAAAAAGAAATCGAGCAAAAAGCAAAGTCCACAAACGGATACGGTTAAAATCAAACTGTAACTGTGTGGCTTAGACTGCAACTGCATTTGTCTGCATTAGTCTGCAACTGCATTTATACATAAAATAGAAAGGTAAATCCAACATGACTAAAGCGGGTGCAGGAAAAACAGAACTGAGAACTGAGAAAAGCAGGAAGAGGTGTTTGTGCAGCGCAGATGGGAGTGGCTGGCAGACAGGTAACAACCTGCCTCAGAGAAAGTGTTTGTTTTTTTAGTTTGTTTAAAATAAATCAAAGGGATTAAATATTATAGTTTAAAAACAAGACAGAAACAGCTTTATGTATACTTAAAGTATACTCAAGTTGCCAAACTACATTAAGGTAGTTAGAGTAAAAATATCACCATAGGTTTTTTATATGCTGCCACGTGTGTACATTATTATTATTATTATTTATCCCCACATGCCTCCTCCATTGCCTGTAAAAGGGATATGCGTTGATGGGGATGACTGTCATACACCTTCCAGCTCCAGGCAGAGAAGAACTCTTCAATTGGATTCAAGAATGGAGAGTATGGGGGGAGGTTGAGTACAGTGAAGAGTGGGTGATCTGTAAACCAGTTGCGGACCAAAGCAGCCCTATGGAAACTAACATTGTCCCATATGATGACGTATCTGGTCTGCTCTGGTCTCTGAACATTAGTGAACATGTCAAAGGTGTCCAGGAATGTAATAATGTGTGCACTGTTATATGGGCCCAGGGTTGCATTATGGTGAACAACACCATTTTGACTTATAGCTGCACACATAGTTATGTTACCACCACGTTGTCCTGGGACATTGATTATGGCACGGTGTCCAATGATGTTCCTTCCGAGTCTCCTCGTCTTAGTGAAGTGAAAACCAGCCTCATCCACAACAAAACAAACTTAGCACAGCAGGCACATGCACAGCACTACAGTATGCACTTCCAGATTCAGTACCAATGATACTATAGCTTACCTGCACATAGTCATATTGCAGCTGTTTTACACGTTCACTGTTTCTTTCCAAAGGTGTTCTGTAGATTTGTTTCATTCGGATTCTGTTGAGGGCAAGTACACAACCTAATACAGAAGTGCTCACATTTTGTATGTTCTGGAAGGTGGTGTCATCCTCAATTAGGCACTGCTGAATTTCACGTAGCCTTATGGAATTATTTGCAGTCACCATATTGACTATATGGGTTTATTGGTTTGCAGTGAACATTCTTCCTCTGCCTCCAGCATCTGGTCAGCTAGCAATTCTGTAAAGTAACAGTTTCAGTATTTTTACATCTGTGGTATTGTTGTGTTCCTCATTAGCATATGGCAGTGCTACAAGTCTTAGTGCAAAGTGACTGTACTAACCGATTCTCATTTCGAAATATCCTTATGATGCTTGCTACAGTGTAGCGGCTCAAGTTAGGCTGAACCCGTTGGCCAGCTTCACTCAGGGTCATTCCATGGTTGATTACATGGTCCACTATTGTAGCTCTGATGTTACCAGCAATTCTATTTCTTACTCTTCTTACCCTTCCTCTTCCCCCTCCTCTTGCTCCTCTTGCTCCTTCTTGTCCTCTTCCTCTAACTTCACCTCCTTGTCCTTGTCATCCTCTTTGTCCTACTTCTTCACCTCCACGTCCTCTTCCTCGGCCTCCTCTAATTCTCACTCTTCTCACTCTTCCTGCTCCCTCCATTGTACTCCACAGTTTACCTGTACCTTATTTATAGTGCTTAGGCTGATTGCAAAGTGAACTAATTATCTAAAACTGTTTTCACACGTGACAGTGTGCCAGACAGTTGGCAAAATAGTGTAAATAATAGCCATAAATGTGTTCAGTTTTGCTAGGAGTGTGTTGATCATTTGGAAATTGAGTGTAAAGCAGTGAGTTGTGTTTACAGTTCTGCAAAAAGAGTGCTGTGCAGTGGATTGTAC